AAATTCAAAGAAGACTGTACCATAATTGCTTACCTATTTTATTTTTTGTAGTCGCGTTTATCATTGATTTTAATTAATATTATTGTCGATGTCAATTTAGGGATAACGAATTTGTTTTTTTTTAATTAGGCATTATTTAGAGTTATATTCGAATATTGATCGTCAGTCTCTCAACCGGGGGAGTATGTTGCGGCCCTCGCGAATTATTGTTTTATTAGACGTGGGCCGCCGGTCCGCCTTAAATTTAATGCAGGGTTTTTCCAACATCTGCATCGGTTGTGAGAGGATAAGACTTTTATTTTTATATTACGGGCCAGTTTGAAGCGCTCGGTTTTATTGTTTTGTATCCCTCACGTTTCAATTGTTACCTTCTTAGATGCGACGGAACTTTCTGCCGATCGCACGCAGATGTTGGGAAACCTCATTTCTAGGTTTTTTCTTATTTTATGGGTTATTCAAGTTTGTTCTAGAGAAGGGGATGGCCGACGAGTTTTCTTCGTCGGGCCGTTCAAAAAATTGAGAGAGAAAAATCCAAGAGCTCGTGCAAGACACCTCGGTCAAGCCGACTCGTCAAATCTGACACCGTACCGAATACTCCGCGTCGTGAGTTCGGTTTTTTTTTTTATATACATCGCGAAACATTTCTAAACTCATTTAAAATTTATGTATTATTCCGTATTTTGTTAATAAATATTAAATTAAGTTTTAAGTGAAAACAAAAGGTGAACTTCTAATTCCAACTACCTGCTTCCCGGTAAATCGTTAAGTAGGGTCACCACGTGTTTGAAAGAACTCTGGTGAAACATTTGGTCCTTCGAGCCGGATAAGGATGATATATTCATATTATGAGATGAATAGTCTGTATATTGCAAGGGAATTCGCTCTCGACTGCCCCAATGGAGTATTTAGAGTGCGGAAAATTGTGGACCAAAGTCTTTATGTATTGAGAGAGTGGGAAAGACTTGAGAAAAACCATGAAGAAGAAGACCCAGGATATCAGCTAGAGTTCAGATTCGTTTTCAAAGATCATGATGAAAGACTCTCCATAAAGAATTATCCTGATCTTCTGGTGATGTGGAAGATGTGGAAGACAGGTCCCTACCCACCTGTCGCCCGGTGTGATACCACCACACCAGCTTTAAGAGCTCTTTAATAATGCCTAGTGCATGTTTCCGAGCTTTGCTGGTGGGCCGGTCCCCAGGGTAGGAGGTGACGACCTCATTAAGAGGAAGAACCAATTAACGATCTCCACAAGGGGTGATAAGCCAATAATGACATTTTCTAATATGTGGCATTATTATTTTCAAATAAAAAACCATGATGTCGTCTACTGGGGTAAAATATTCCGGAGGTTAACTCGTTCCCCAATCGGATCTCCGGGGGGGACTATCCCAGGGGATACAACATGGAGATTCAAGCTCCTCTAATCATGCCACCAACGGCTCATCCAATCAAGACACCAACACCAATTATGACACCAACACCAATTATGACATTACCAATCAAGTCAACAATAAAAAGCTCAATATTGAGTTTTGCAACATTCGAGGGCTCGGACATAATAACATTAACGTTAATTGCGTCCATCAACTTCTACAATCAGTCAAGCCCCATATTTTAGCTTTAAGTGAAACTCAAATAAGTCCATCAGCTGACAGCACATACCTGCTATGTCCTGGGTATGATTTGCATTCTAGGTTTAGGTTCAAGGGAGGCGTTTGCGTCTACGTCAGATCTGACGTTGCCTGTCAACGTGAAGAATCCATGGAGGTTGACAGCCTTGACGTAATGTGGCTTAAAACTATTATCCACAAGAAAACGCGATTTATATGCTCCCTGTATCGCTCTCCTAACGACAACCAACCTCATCAGCTGTTTCAACACTTATCAGAGAAAGTCGACTGGATCCAGATCAACTATCCATCATCTGAAATTATCATTCTTGGCGATTTCAATGCTCATAATTCCGGTTGGCTAACACACTCCAACAAAACGGACGAGGCCGGAAGACAAGCCGAAGCCTTTGCAATCAGCTGCAATCTATCTCAATTGATAGATTGTCCAACAAGAGTTCCCAGTAACCCTAATGATTTCAGAAACACGCTAGATTTGTACCTAACCTCAGAGCCTGACAGCTATGACATCACGGCACATAGTCCACTTGGCAACTCAGACCACATCTTATTATCCGCATCATGTCCCTTAATTGTGGAGACTGTCGACCAACCCAGAGCTCGTCGTCTAGTTTGGCACTACAACAAAGCCAAGTGGGATGAGCTGAGAGACTTTTTCGCAGCGTTTCCTTGGAGCGCTACCTGCTTTGCGAACAAAGACGTTAATCAGTGTGCTGAAGCTGTCTCTGAGGTAATCCTTCTAGGTATGGAACTCTATATTCCACATAATCGCAAAAAACCACCATCCACAACACCCTGGTTTAACAAAGAATGCGAGCAAGCGTCCGTTAACAAAAATAGAGCGTTCAGAGAGTGGTGCTCAAATCCGTCGGAAGAAACGCGACAAACATATATGCAACTTAGAAATAAGTGCAATCTGATTATCCAACAAGCAAAACAAGCATTTAACAATAAGGTAACAAATAAGCTTTTAGAATGTCCTAGTGGTTCGCGTCCATTCTGGTCACTAGCTAAGGCTATCAACAACAATTTTTGCCATACCACCTTCCCACCACTTGTTAAAGATGATGGCACATTGGCGACCAGCTCCAAAGAGAAGGCAGACCTCTTCGCGGCACTATTCGCAAAGAATTCAACGCTAGATGCAGGTCAAATGGTACCTCCTAATATTTCTAAGTTTCAGGTTTCAATGCCCGAACTGAAATTTCAAACACGTAACATCCGCCGCATTCTGAAACAACTAAACTGCAAAAAGTCAATGGGACCTGACGGGATACCTGCAATTGTATTAAAGCACTGTGCACCCGAACTCGCACCTTGGCTCTGTCGGCTTTTTAAGCTGTGCTATGAGCAGAGGACATTTCCATCTGTATGGAAGGTTGCAAGAGTTCAACCAATACCAAAAAAAGGGAAAAAGTGCCTTCCGCAAAATTACCGCCCGATAGCCCTTCTACCCATATTATCCAAAGTAATGGAATCTGCCATTAACTTGCAGGTTGTTAAATATCTAGAACAGAATGGTCTCATAAGTGACAACCAGTACGGCTTCCGACACAGTCGCTCAACAGGTGACCTGCTCACTTATGTTACACACATTTGGACAAGTGTTATCGAGAACCACGGAGAATCAATAGCGGTCGCTTTAGATATATCTAAGGCCTTCGACCGGGTTTGGCACAAAGCACTGCTATCTAAGCTGGCATCCTACGGTCTGCCCCAAAAACTATGCGGACTTATAGAGAGCTTTCTGCATAGGAGACAAATTCAAGTTGTGGTTGACGGTGCAACTTCAGATCCTTACTCTTTGAACGCTGGTGTACCTCAAGGATCGATTTTATCACCAACTCTATTCTTAATCCACATAAATGATCTTTTAAATTCAACCAAAAACAAAATTCTCAGCTTCGCAGATGATAGCACTCTCATAGCATCCACTACAAACAAGAGACCTGTCAGTGCATCTAAATCAAGTCGCCAAAGGCTCTTGCAAGCTGAGTCCATCAACAACGACCTTCAAATTATTTTGAAGTGGGGATCCGATAATCTGGTTGAATTCAACGCCTCCAAGACCCAGGCAACCATGTTTACAAGAAAGACGTCCTCCGTCATACCCCAACTAGCATTGAATAACCAAACAATTAAAACAACTAATAAATTACATCTTTTAGGGGTCAGCATTAATTCAAATGCAACCTGGCATGAACATGTTTCCACCATAGCTAAATCAGCCGCCCAGAAGCTTAGTTACTTATTTCGTGCCAGAAAAATGTTCACACCAAAGCAGCTTCTGTTACTCTATAAGGCTCAAGTTCGTCCAGCATTGGAATATTGCTCTCATGCTTGGAGTTCTGCTCCTAAGCACTTCTTGCACCTACTAGACTCCATTCAAAAAAGAGCAGTGCGCCTGGTTGATGACCCCTCATTAACCTCTAACCTTCATACACTAGACCATCGTAGAAGGGTTAGCGACTTAAGTCTCTTTTACAGATATTACCACGGAAGGTGTTCTGCAGCCATTGCTTCCATTATTCCACCTGGTGCTCACTTTGGACGTTCTACAAGGCTAGCGGAGAGCACACACCAGTTTGCCGTACACATTTCAACAGCTAGGACCTCTATGTATCAGAAATCTTTTCTGTACAGAACCGCGACACTATGGAACACACTACCATCAGAAGTGTTCCCAGTTGGTTACGACCTTCAGAGGTTTAAGACCAACATTAACAATTACCTACTAAAAACGCCTCGGGGCGCCTGAACAGGCGTTATAAGCTTCGTCTTTTCCCGAGTCGTGTGTATAAAAAAAAAAAAAAAAAAAAAAAAAAAAAAAAAAAAAAAAAAAAAAAAAAAAAAAAAAAAAAAAAAAAAAAAAAAAAAAATATTGTGCTAAAGAGTATAAGATGTCTACTGAAGCAACATTTGCTAATTTCAAGATTGGATCACATGCTACCTCAATCCCCACCGACTATTTGAAACAAATGATGAATACTCCATTACATCTTAAAGGTGCAAACTCGACAACAACTGATACCGTCTGTGAACAATTTATAAGCGAAAGAGGAAAGGAGATCCCAAAGAACAACGTCACAACTCCTACGCCAGGAATGATGGCTGCAATAATGAATATACTCCAGGGATCGTCCCAACCATAAATGTATTTTTATGCTGTTAAAGTACCTGTTAACTACCTGAATTAGATTAAGGACAATTAAATTTAGATTTAAGGATTAATAACTAGTTTAGTTTTGTTATTTAGGTTAGGTATTTCATTATCTTTATTTGTTACCTATATAAAGTTAGAGTCTGTTCAGTTTTAGAAAAAATCGACTTATATATAATAAAAGTGATATGAAGATTAAGCGAACAATGGCTTCACACAAACAATCCCGAGATCTTCAGTTCTACAACAAGGCAGTATCTGAATTTAAAGGGAAAGATGTGGAATCCGTAAAACAAGACTTAGGATGGGGACTCAAACAAGAAGCTCACAAGAAGATCGAGTTCATTACCTCTACAAGAGGAAGTTATCATGAGTTAACTGTGGTGTTCTATTATGCTGCGTATTGCGAAAATCTTGTTGCTATTTTTGATATGGAGAGAACAAATAGAAGTATAAGTCCTCCTCTACCTCAATACCTTAAACAATCCTTTTATTATATAAGGGGTGATAAGGAACCTAATAGAATTGCAAACGAGGATGGAACCCTTAATAGAAAGCCCAAGCTTAGGAAAAAATCAGATGCGAACAACACCTCACTATTAAGCACATACATGCTAGGAGAAGAACTTAGCGAGCAAGAGACTACAGCTATTAAAGAAGCTAAAACATCTAAAGCATCTCTGCTTCCTCAAAAGGAGAGTACACATGATGATACTGTTGTAGATGATGAAGAAGAAGCAGGCATATCTTCTGGCCTTACCAGTAAGGATCAAGAAGGACCGGCATCTTCCACCTGTCCTGCAGCTATGACTCATATATCACCTAATCTAGCAGAAGTCTTAAAAGATCAAAATGAAACATCAATCTGGGACAAACTAGGATTATGCTCAATAAGACAATTGGAGGCTGTGAATAATCCTGCTCCAATTATAACTCATACCCAGATAAGATGCATAAAAGGACAATCCGAAGCCCTCGCGAATTATTGTTTTATTAGACGTGGGCCGCAACAAGAATGAATTGGAACTCTTCGAAACTATCCCGATTAATTTTAGAACTATTCTGAAGTGACCAGAATGATTTAGAACTCTTCGAAACTATCCCGATTAATATTAGAACTATTCTGAAGTGACCAGAATGAATTGGAACTCTTCGAAACTATCCCGATTAATTTTAGAACTATTTTGAAGTGACCAGAATGAATTGGAACTCTTCGAAACTATCCCGATTAATATTAGAACTATTATAAACTGACCAGAATGAATTAGAACTCTTCGAAACTAACCCGATTAATATTAGAACTATTCTGAAGTGACCAGAATGAATTGGAACTCTTCGAAACTATCCCGATTAATATTAGAACTATTCTGAAGTAACCAGAATGAATTGGAACTCTTCGAAACTATCCCGATTAATTATAGAACTATTTTGAAGTGACCAGAATGAATTGGAACTCTTCGAAACTATCCCGATTAATATTAGAACTATTCTAAACTGACCAGAATGAATTAGAACTTTTCGAAACTAACCCGATTAATATTAGAACTATTCTGAAGTGACCAGAATGAATTGGAACTCTTCGAAACTATCCCGATTAATATTAGAACTATTCTGAAGTAACCAGATTGAATTGGAACTCTTCGAAACTATCCCGATTAATTTTAGAACTATTTTGAAGTGACCAAAATGAATTGGAACTTTTCGAAACTAACCCGATTAATATTAGAACTATTCTAAACTGACCAGAATGAATTAGAACTCTTCGAAACTAACCCGATTAATATTAGAACTATTCTGAAGTGACCAGAATGAATTAGAACTCTTCGAAACTATCCCGATTAATATTAGAACTATTCTGAAGTGACCAGAATGATTTAGAACTCTTCGAAACTATCCCGATTAATTTTAGAACTATTCTGAAGTGACCAGAATGATTTAGAACTCTTCGAAACTATCCCGATTAATATTAGAACTATTCTGAAGTGACCAGAATGAATTGGAACTCTTCGAAACTATCCCGATTAATTTTAGAACTATTCTGAAGTGACCAGAATGAATTGGAACTCTTCGAAACTATCCCGATTAATTTTAGAACTATTCTGAAGTGACCAGAATGATTTAGAACTCTTCGAAACTATCCCGATTAATATTAGAACTATTCTGAAGTGACCAGAATGAATTGGAACTCTTCGAAACTATCCCGATTAATTTTAGAACTATTCTGAAGTGACCAGAATGAATTGGCACTCTTCGAAACTATCCCGATTAATTTTAGAACTATTCTGAAGTGACCAGAATGAATTAGAACTCTTCGAAACTATCCCGATTAATATTATAACTATTCTGAAGTGACCAGAATGAATTAGAACTCTTCGAAACTATCCCGATTAATTTTAGAACTATTCTAAAGTGACCAGAATGAATTAGAACTGTTCGAAACTATCCCGATTAATTTTAGAACTATTCTAAACTGACCAGAATGAATTAGAACTCTTCGAAACTAACCCGATTAATTTTAGAACTATTCTAAACTGACCAGAATGAATTAGAACTCTTCGAAACTAACCCGATTAATATTAGAACTATTCTGAAGTGACCAGAATGAATTGGAACTCTTCGAAACTAACCCGATTAATATTAGAACTATTCTAAACTGACCAGAATGAATTAGAACTCTTCGAAACTAACCCGATTAATATTAGAACTATTCTGAAGTGACCAGAATGAATTAGAACTCTTCGAAACTATCCCGATTAATATTAGAACTATTCTGAAGTAACCAGAATGAATTAGAACTCTTCGAAACTATCCCGATTAATATTAGAACTATTCTGAAGTAACCAGAATGAATTGGAACTCTTCGAAACTATCCCGATTAATTTTAGAACTATTCTGAAGTGACCAGAATGAATTGGAACTCTTCGAAACTATCCCGATTAATTTTAGAACTATTCTGAAGTGACCAGAATGAATTAGAACTCTTCGAAACTATCCCGATTAATTTTAGAACTATTCTGAAGTGACCAGAATGATTTAGAACTCTTCGAAACTATCCCGATTAATTTTAGAACTATTCTGAAGTGACCAGAATGATTTAGAACTCTTCGAAACTATCCCGATTAATATTAGAACTATTCTGAAGTGACCAGAATGAATTGGAACTCTTCGAAACTATCCCGATTAATTTTAGAACTATTCTGAAGTGACCAGAATGATTTAGAACTCTTCGAAACTATCCCGATTAATATTAGAACTATTCTGAAGTGACCAGAATGAATTGGAACTCTTCGAAACTATCCCGATTAATTTTAGAACTATTCTGAAGTGACCAGAATGATTTAGAACTCTTCGAAACTATCCCGATTAATATTAGAACTATTCTGAAGTGACCAGAATGAATTGGAACTCTTCGAAACTATCCCGATTAATTTTAGAACTATTCTGAAGTGACCAGAATGAATTGGAACTCTTCGAAACTATCCCGATTAATTTTAGAACTATTCTGAAGTGACCAGAATGAATTAGAACTCTTCGAAACTATCCCGATTAATATTATAACTATTCTGAAGTGACCAGAATGAATTAGAACTCTTCGAAACTATCCCGATTAATTTTAGAACTATTCTAAACTGACCAGAATGAATTAGAACTGTTCGAAACTATCCCGATTAATTTTAGAACTATTCTAAACTGACCAGAATGAATTAGAACTCTTCGAAACTATCCCGATTAATTTTAGAACTATTCTAAACTGACCAGAATGAATTAGAACTCATCGAAACTATCCCGATTAATTTTAGAACTATTCAGAAGTGACCAGAATGAATTAGAACTCTTCGAAACTATCCCGATTAATATTAGAACTATTCTGAAGTAACCAGAATGAATTGGAACTCTTCGAAACTATCCCGATTAATTTTAGAACTATTCTAAACTGACCAGAATGAATTAGAACTCTTCGAAACTAACCCGATTAATATTAGAACTATTCTGAAGTGACCAGAATGAATTGGAACTCTTCGAAACTAACCCGATTAATATTAGAACTATTCTAAACTGACCAGAATGAATTAGAACTCTTCGAAACTAACCCGATTAATATTAGAACTATTCTGAAGTGACCAGAATGAATTAGAACTCTTCGAAACTATCCCGATTAATATTAGAACTATTCTGAAGTAACCAGAATGAATTAGAACTCTTCGAAACTATCCCGATTAATATTAGAACTATTCTGAAGTGACCAGAATGAATTGGAACTCTTCGAAACTATCCCGATTAATTTTAGAACTATTCTGAAGTGACCAGAATGATTTAGAACTCTTCGAAACTATCCCGATTAATATTAGAACTATTCTGAAGTGACCAGAATGAATTGGAACTCTTCGAAACTATCCCGATTAATTTTAGAACTATTCTGAAGTGACCAGAATGAATTAGAACTCTTCGAAACTATCCCGATTAATTTTAGAACTATTCTGAAGTGACCAGAATGATTTAGAACTCTTCGAAACTATCCCGATTAATTTTAGAACTATTCTGAAGTGACCAGAATGAATTGGAACTCTTCGAAACTATCCCGATTAATTTTAGAACTATTCTGAAGTGACCAGAATGAATTAGAACTCTTCGAAACTATCCCGATTAATTTTAGAACTATTCTGAAGTGACCAGAATGAATTGGAACTCTTCGAAACTATCCCGATTAATTTTAGAACTATTCTGAAGTGACCAGAATGAATTAGAACTCTTCGAAACTATCCCGATTAATTTTAGAACTATTCTGAAGTGACCAGAATGATTTAGAACTCTTCGAAACTATCCCGATTAATATTAGAACTATTCTGAAGTGACCAGAATGAATTAGAACTCTTCGAAACTATCCCGATTAATTTTAGAACTATTCTGAAGTGACCAGAATGATTTAGAACTCTTCGAAACTATCCCGATTAATATTAGAACTATTCTGAAGTGACCAGAATGAATTGGAACTCTTCGAAACTATCCCGATTAATTTTAGAACTATTCTGAAGTGACCAGAATGAATTGGAACTCTTCGAAACTATCCCGATTAATTTTAGAACTATTCTGAAGTGACCAGAATGATTTAGAACTCTTCGAAACTAACCCGATTAATATTAGAACTATTCTAAACTGACCAGAATGAATTAGAACTCTTCGAAACTAACCCGATTAATATTAGAACTATTCTGAAGTGACCAGAATGAATTAGAACTCTTCGAAACTATCCCGATTAATATTAGAACTATTCTGAAGTAACCAGAATGAATTAGAACTCTTCGAAACTATCCCGATTAATATTAGAACTATTCTGAAGTGACCAGAATGAATTGGAACTCTTCGAAACTATCCCGATTAATTTTAGAACTATTCTGAAGTGACCAGAATGATTTAGAACTCTTCGAAACTATCCCGATTAATATTAGAACTATTCTGAAGTGACCAGAATGAATTAGAACTCTTCGAAACTATCCCGATTAATTTTAGAACTATTCTGAAGTGACCATAATGAATTAGAACTCTTCGAAACTATCCAGATTAATTTTAGAACTATTCTGAAGTGACCAGAATGAATTAGAACTCTTCGAAACTATCCCGATTAATTTTAGAACTATTCTGAAGTGACCAGAATGAATTAGAACTCTTCGAAACTATCCCGATTAATTTTAGAACTATTCTGAAGTGACCAGAATGAATTAGAACTCTTCGAAACTATCCCGATTAATTTTAGAACTATTCTG